GGTTGGAAACACCGGCCTTGTTGATATTCATATCCATGAAAGAAATATATTCAAACACTGATTGCTTGAGAATGTTCATATTTTCCTCTGAGAAAGTAGCAGATGAAACAGAAGGATGACTAGCAAAAGATGAACGAGAAGCTACGCTTGCTCTTCCTTGTTCAAATGAGGTAAACAAATCCTAAATTGAGCGCAAAATGGCATTAGCTTCCTGTAAAGAAAAATGCAAGTATTTAGTATCTTCATTACAGCGAACGAAATAAAGATGAAAGATAAAACAAAAGCTACCTCATCATTAGTCTTGGAAAAATAGGGTACTCACTTGGACGAAGTAGATTTGGTAGAAGATGGTGAAACAGAGGCCGGTAAAGCTAGAGCCTTCAAGGAAGAAGTTGAGCTTTTCTGAAAAATTCAGGTAAAGCATTAACATATGGCAGATTTTCACATAAATAAACAAACTCAAATACCTTTCTCCTGACGATGAGAGGGGTATCATCATCATTATTATCATCATCATGATGCAAAATTGGCGAAGTCGAGACTGGCCTTTTGCGGCTGGAAGTACCCTTAGCTGTGCCAGCTTGAGCTGGTGGGGAACTAGATGGAGGAGCAGGATGTCTAATGTGAGTAGATGGGGATTTCGAAGGCGAAGTGGGATTCCTAATAGACACAAGAATAGCAAGAAGAGGAGAAGTGGAAAAAGTCTCCGGCTGTTATAGCAGGTAGAAGACACTATTAGCATCAGTCGTGAATAGCCTACGCAGATGGTCAAAGTTGTTCAAAAAGAGGATGAATGGCAGAAGTGGGGTTGAAAGGGGCTAATGATAAACCATTTGTCAAAAGAATAATACGGGCATCATTGGCTTGTGCCTTTGCTTTATTAATAGTATGGAAACGGTCTGTCAGGCTTTTGGAAAAGCAAGGAGGAACCGACTACGTTTGGCTAAAGCCAAGCTGACGAGCAAAAAACTGGGGAACATATATCTTAACCCCATCCTTGGCATTTGTTTCAGTTAAGATGTCGTGAAACAGTTCCCTCCCAACCAAATATTGGACCATAATAGGCAAAAAAGTGCTCACATCATCCATGGTAGACAGAGCATACACGTAGTTTGGGATTGAGTGAGCAGGAAAAGGAAAAAAGAAAGAGATTGAATCCAAGTTATAAAAGAATGAAAAAAGTCCCTATTGGATATATTTACATGGCTCAATTGGTTGATGCCTGGCCCATAACAGCTAGCAGATCAAGGATGAGTGGATGGAGCACCAAGTTGTGAAAAGTATGCTCTCAACCACAATTGAGCGAGCCAAAGAGACCCCTACCGTAGGAGATGCACCATTCCTTAACTAGTGTTGAAGGGAAGTCATTCCTCTATAAAAGGCGGCTAAGAATAATGAACATAGATTTAAAGGCCTACCACGCGCTAATTCATGCGCTATGGGCAAATAACTCATGGAAGGCTTAAAGCTGGGCACGGAAAGAATATATTTGCAAAGCCAAACTTGGAGGAAAGCGACATACTCAGCGTGAGTAGGTTCAGCACCGAATTTATTATAAAACTTCTACATGCCCGAGTAAGAATCAGTAAGTCTTTTCTCAAAAGTTGGGGCAGCGCCAATGGAAGGTTTACTAGGGCTCTAACATCTCTCAGAGTAATAGGCATTGGGCCAAGCGAGAAAATAAAGGTATTATACTTAGAAGACCAAAAACTTAAAGTAATGAGGAAAAACAAGGCATCATAGATTGGGAGCGGAGGGTGATTTCTAATAAATCAGAAATTCTACCATGATAAAAAATCGCCTTAGTAGGGCCATGATTTACCATACGTACATGCCACATAGGAAAAGTAGTATCAGTTTTGGGCCAAGTGCGAATACCATTCTTGTGGATTGACTTTTTAACTATAGAGAGTTTAGAAAATGAGAATTTTGAGTACAAGGGAATAGTTGGCCCACTGCCGCTTGCCCAACCGATTCAGCATCATTAAATGACAGGCCTAGGTAGAATTCATGGAGGTCAGGGTTGGATGGTGAAAGGGAAACCAGATTTATATACGGCTTGGTGAGGAGGTCTTGGAAGTCTTCGAAGCTAAGGGAGTTGTCGGAAGGGCTCTGTGAAGTCGTCATTTGCTACAAAGCACAGTCTTCGTGAGAGTTTGTGAGAAACGTAGCAGGGAAGTAACAAGATGAACAGTGATCTCTATAAAGAAAAATAAGCTCGCGATGCAAAGACATGGAGTATAATGGCGCGATGAAATGACGTGTTCTTTGGTTTATAGGAGTTACATGATGTTACATGTTTTGGGATATAGAGGGTTACCACCAAAAGAAAATAATGATTGGGATTATATGCCCTTTTTGGGATTTTTGCCAGAAAATACAAAAGAATAATATGGCATAAAATTAATGCTTGATATTAATTTTACCATATTGGGGGTAATTGTTAACATACAAAAATAAGTCCCAATTAAATAATCCAAAGAATGAAGTCTAGTTAAGAAATTCGAAGGATGGACCCAAACCCCAAGACTAAGTTACGTAATGGAGGCCCATCATCGCCCAAGCTTATGAGACCCCAGACGCCCAAGATTTAGGTGAGCCTATCATCACTCAAGCCTGTGTGACGCTCAAAATCTGGGAGAATATAGTGTTTTTGTTACTGTTCGGATCAACGCTTATTAAAACAGTTAATGGGTAATCTTATTACATTCCACGATCCAAAAATCTCGATTGCAGGAAGTTAAGAGATGGGGTAATGGCAGCAGTTGAAAAGATAGTTTCATGACAAGTCATCGACGATGGAGAAGGTGGGTACGTAGTTACAGGACGATGAGCAGTTTTCAAGAGTTTTGAAACTGTTTTACAAAAGAAACTGTCAAAGGAGTATAAAAGAGAAAGAATAAATAAGAAAAAAGATCAAACCAACTCTCAAAAAGAGAATTATGTAATTTCATTTCTTAGTTAACTTTCAATTATTTTCTTCTAGAATTCGTGTGCTTGCGCCCCTTGAAGGCATTTTGTTTTATCCATATTGTAATCTTCATCAATAAAACACTCATCGTTGGGACTTGTCTCAAGAGGTTGTTGTTTCTTACACAATCGTCTGATCCATGTTTTAATTGTTAGCGATTTCCACACGAAACAGGCATCTTATGCAAGTTGGACTTTGATATCATGGTGCCAAGTAAGCGAATGATATGTTATCTTCTGTAGTAATGGTAGGGAGTCAAATATCCTCTTTTTTCGCTCTGGACAATATGCAAGATCGCATACCTATTGGCATCTAGGTTGTGACATGATGATGCTACCGAACTTGACTAGTGAGTCATTGAGATGAGACGGCGTGTCAAGCCCCTGATAAATTCTTAACCTACTAATACTTGCATTCAGTAACTTGGCAAGGGTGATGAAAATTTGATATTATCACTCTGGATTTATATCCCGACTCCCCTTTTTTATTTTATTTTTCTCGTATCACTCCCATACTTCATATATTTTTTGTTTGATTGACTTGAGCATCAAAGCACATACGATTGCGGCGTTTCTTGCCCTTTGTATCTGGATATGCTTCGGTCTGTGCCTCTAACGCGTGCATCCAAGTGCACAAATAACTTGTACATGAAGGAGAGCTGATGCGGAATTTATTGACGCGATATATCCCAACCAACCAGATTCCAATGGCAACTTGTATTCATGAAATACATTAGGTTTTATCTCTGTGTTTAGCTCCCTTATCATGTTTGTATTTGTATTTTGTTTTCTTTCTTTCAAGTTTGGATAAACAGTGGCTTTTGATGATTTGATTAAAAAAATAATAAAATAAAAAATCTTGGCGCCATTTCGCGTTAAGGGACACATAGTTCAAGCGGGGTGAGATACACACTCTATAAGAGCATCCATCGAAGTTGTAAACTATCCTCGGATCAACCGGCCGGCCGGGCCGGCTAAGCATATTCTGAAGGTTTACAAATTAATACAACGTGTATTTTTGCAAACATTTTTCTGTCTGTGCCCTTCTGTCTTGTCTTTAACAAATGGACTTCAGATCAAACCAAAAACTAGGTTTCCAATTCCCATGGCCTCAATTGATTAGCCGTCCATTCTGCAACAATCGCAGCATATTCCCAAGGTTAGGTCCAACTTACAAAGACAAGAAACAGAAAGTTACCAATACCTAAACCAACAAATTTTTAGTTATTCCATTCCATTAATTGCTACAAATTGGGAGGCTTGCTTGACTAACTATTTTAAATCGCGTTCTTGATAATACCTTAGTTGTGCTTGCCACATGGATATAGTTTAGTGTATTTATTGATGCTTCATCTTGAGATGTGAATCATTCAATATTTATTTAGTCGACCCAGTTAATTGAAAATTGGGTAAACTGTAGCAAAAGTTCGAAATCTTTTCATTCTTTTGCTCTTTTACTCTTTTAACCTTTTTCTCTTCAACGTTGTTTTCTTCCAGAATCCATTTCATGAATGCCGCCAATTTATCAAAGCTTGGGGACATGGATGTTGAAAAATAAAAAGGTCGGAGATGAAAGTGCAAAAGAATGGAAAAGTTGGGATGTTTACCGCAATTTACTCTTAATATCATAAGATCAGTCGTCCATGATCATTTTTTCTTTGTCGGGCTCCATCAATGAAAGAAAGAATGAGACAACTTTTTATGAACTCGTTGAGAATGATTATGATATTATCTAAAGCAACTGAATCCTAATTGATTCGGAATATGCCTTGACATCATCGAAACACACTACAAATTTCCTAACCTGATTTTCGGTGCCTTGTGGATTTTCATTCTCCTTTTGTATTATTCCTCGTCTATTCCTAACCTATTTATATATAATAATACAACCACAGCATAAGAAATACATTTATATAAAAATAGGTGCCCACAAGAAAAAATCAACAGCAAAAGGAAAAGCCACACAATTTAACGTTTGACACCTATATATGAAAGTTTAGAAAGAAACCTAGTAGTTGTAATAGAGAAATATGAGTGATCAGAAGGTAGTTCTTGTTACAGGGTGTGCAAAGGGTGGCATTGGTTATGAGTATTGCAAGGCTTTTGCCGAGAAAAACTGCCATGTTTTCGCATCCGATATCCCCCAACGAATGCAGGACCTCGAAGATTTGCATTCCGAGAAAATCGAGACATTAGAGCTGGATGTCTCATCGGATGAAAGTGCAACGAGCGCGATAAATTCTGTGATGTCCCGGCGTGGGAGGATAGATATATTAATCAACAATGCTGGGATCGGGGGCACCGGCCCTTTGGCTGAGCTTCCATTGGATGTTATACGAAGGACTTATGAAATTAACACTTTGGGGCAATTGAGGATGATCCAACAGGTTGTTCCACACATGGTCGCGCAACGGAGTGGAAGCATTGTAAACATTGGGAGCGTTGTTGGGAGGGTGCCGACACCATGGACCGGGGCGTACTGCACTAGCAAGGCGGCGGTACATGCGATTTCCGACACTCTTCGGGTCGAGCTCCGGCCATTTGAGATAGACGTGATACTTGTGCTTCCAGGGGCAATCAAGTCGAATCTTGGGAGAAATAACTTAGAGAAATTGAAGAACTATGATTGGAAAGTTTACAAGGATTTTAATGAATCTATAATTGAGAGAGCAAGAGCTTCTCAAGTTGGAAAATCGACTGATGCAGCATTGTTCGCTAGGCATGTAGCAAGCAAGGTTTTGAGTCCTAAACCACCAAAACAAATTGTGTTTGGTCATATGACTGGACTGTTTACTTTTCTTTCATGGTCTCCCCTTTGGGTTAGGGATCTTTTCTTCACATATCGATTTAAAATAAACAAAAAGATTTTTTAGGGTACTAGCAGTTCGTTTTTGTGTTGTCCAATATTGTACCGAACATTTCTATGATATTTTGTCATGGTTTAACGACCTTCTCCTCTATAAATGGAGGCTTGATCCTGCCTGTATGGGTATCAGAAGTTGGAAATAAAACTCATTCTGTATGTTCTTTCTAAACTTCTAAACATTTTTCTTCTTTCCTCAAATCATATGAAGTAATATTAATACGATGTGATAAGAGTGTAGATCATAGCAGTCCCGCTCTGCAGTTGCCATTGAAAAAAGGATCCTCTTGCATCAGAAAGATCATTTTGCTGAATAAAATATCCAACCTGGGTCTGTTTTGAGCCCAAAAGGTGTGGCTTGTGTGGGTAGAAATTCCCTTCGGCAAATGGGTTTTGGTCACGTTGCAAGATTCTATTTATGTTGTGGGATCTTTATGGAGAAACGAAGATGTCGAGATGATTTATTTTTAATTAATATTGGTCTTTTTATTGGCTTTATAGAACTAGTTTTTGCAAACCATGAAATTCCCATGAAAATGAACAAAAAACAGGAACTTTTGTTAAGAGTGAAATCTCACACCAATTAAAGGTGAAAAGATTAACCAATTTCAACTACTACTCCTAAGAATGCTACCCTTTTTTGATAAAACTACGAGACTCCATATGACAGCAAAATCCAACAAGCTTGAATTCCAAAATTGATGTGCTCAAGTGAGTCAAATGTTTGGAGTGTACATTAGTAATATTATCAATACATCGATTAAAGATAGAAATTTAGATAATATATAAAAGGATTTCACTCCCCTTTTATCAAAATTGACATTTTAAGATCATTTCTATTATTGGTTGATAGTTATTTCCATTTGTACGTTTAGATCGCAGTAAACGATCTAAGTACATAATAGAAACAGAAATGCTACAAATCCAGGGCCAAAACCAGGCCCAAATCCAGGGGGCCGAGGTGGATGCACCTTGGCCCTTGATTTTAATTCATGTGGGGTCCTCTTCCTTTAAATCAGGGGCTGAGGTGATGACACCTGATGCACCTCGGCCCTTGATTTTAATTCATGCGGGGTCCTCTTCCTTTAAATCAGGGGCTGAGGTGATGACACCTCAGCCACCTGGATACTGGTCGGTCCTTCACCCTGGCCGACCAGCATTTTTCAATTAAGAAT